ATGGGTTTGGATCTGTGCTTGTTGAGATGGAATCTGATGGTGGAGAATTTGTCAGGTGTCGGGAGTGAAACAAACCCCCTTGAACAAACCCCCAAATTGAAAACTGCAGGTTGAGCACAACACGAAAACTACATACCAGCCCTTGAACGACTGAGCTGGGTCTGAAGGCTCGGAGGCGGCTAAGGGGGGGGAGATTGGAGCTGAAGAAGGCTAACTAAAAAGTCAGATTTGCCCCTCACGAATCTATGAGATTCTCACAGATGCTTGCCACGTCATCATTTTAAACGGAAAAAACTAACGGACTTGACAGAAGGACTACTGGTGCAACGAAACACAGAGTTGAGTGACCCCGGCAACTAATAATTGAATTGATGGACCAAAGTGTAACTACGGGTATAGTTGAAGGACCATTGCTGCGAATAACCCTTAAGTTAATAAGCATCAACACGGTCTAATTTAATAAAAAAGGTCTTAATTTACAAACTAGAGCTTTCCAATTCGAAATTCGAGTGTATGTAATGATACTATTGGAGCGTTTAATTTTTAGATATTTTTACCTCAATTTCAGAGATAACCAATTCTAACTATAAACTCTTCCCTTATTTGGTTTCCTTTAGATAAAAATTTGTAAACTTTTTAAATTTTAGGCCTACGGTTTTGTTAGGATTTTTTACCCAACCTAACTTTATGGGTCCGATCCATTTTACTTGTTTTAGTATATGATGAGAGTTGGATGCTATAAATCAATATTATAGGGCATTGTTTTTTTTTCTTCCTAATTTGTTGTAAGTGAATAAAAGAGGAACGAAAAAAATCAGCTTTTTATTATTTTAATTATAAAAATGATATTATACTTCAATACTCCAGCCAATTCATGTCTAGAAATTAGAGGATAATGTCTAGAAATTAGAGGATATTACAGACATCTCGAACCATCTTATAATTGGCCATATTCTATGTAGTACAGGGCATTTTTCCCTTCCTTTTTCAGGTTTGTGGGTGTTCATTTCCAATCATCCCATGAAAATTGTTAATCATTCCATTTATTTTTACTAGACACTGAGAATATATCTTATTGAATTTGGAGCAACTTTTACAGGGACAAAGAAAACCAACACACAGCTATCTACACAACTAATAAGTTCTAGCCTCTACTAGTGATCATGACGTCTTGCTCTTTCCCATGCTGCAAGAACCCAGCCCAATCTTTTCCTTGTTCCTTCAATCTCTCGGCCACACCACCACCAAATCCCAAAAGACTTGTGCCTCCAAGCTCCTGAAAAATCCACCCCAAAGTAGACATGCCTGTGAGGGCCATGGCTCCAGCCACAGCAAACCCAACCACTGCTCCCACAAACACAAACCCAGAAAAAAACAGCAGAGGGCTGAAGATCAACAGAAGTGGTGAGCTCAAAACCATAAGCGTCACTGAGGCCAAGAAACTGAACCCCATCAAGAACACAAGCGACCCTCCAATTGCCAAGCCTCCCATGGCTGCCAAGACCACCTTGGTGCCTGAGGCCTGCTGCTTCCCATGAACCTCCATTGGGTTTTGCTTTTTCTTTTTCTTTTTGCTCTTTTGCTGTGATCTTTTTGGCTGTGTGGTTTTGAAATTGTACATGAAAGTGTGGTTTTATATTTGGTGCGTGGAGGCTTTCGTTACGTGTTGGTTTCATTTCTGATGTTATGTGGCAACTGTTGGAGTTCATGTGGGACAGGTGGCAACGGGTACTGTGACACGTAGGTTGCTGCTGCATGTGAAATGGATAATTCTTGTTGATAGGTCTGTTCTAGAATTTGTTTGAGAAGGAAGGATAACAAAGTCAAAGCCCCTGCAACAACTACACAAGACAAAGTAATTATATTAAGACACTTTTAGCATAAATTTTTGTGGTTAACTGTAATCAACTGCTAAATCATTTTGACTGATTAATTTGATCAGGAAATAGTAGCTCCAATCAAATATCAAACGGCCGGATATGCATGCCAATACAGGATAAGGTTTAGAAACTCTGTAGTTTCAGAAAGCATAAGTCTGTAAGCATGTTAAGCTCAAAGAGATAAGGGGGCAGCTGCAGAAAAAATTGTGTGAAACAGGGATAACATTCCGGCCAATCACGGTATGTAAATGCGTGATAACTTTTTCACTTAGCATACTGTAATTGGCCTATTTCCATTCTACACAAGTGTTTCTTGTAGTGCTTAGAATGGAATGGCATTTCAATGACTTTAAAGAAGACAGCATGCACTTTCCTTGATTGAAGCTAAATGATTCAAACGAAAACCCTTCCTAACACTGTCAAACTTTTTTTAGGTTGTAATGTTTTAATTTTCATGTTGTCACAAATATGTGCAGAAAATAGAAAAAAGTGAATTATAATGTATTACGCATTTATCTTGAAACGTTTGTTCTTGTCTTTGAGGTCTTTTGTTTTGTTCTGATGCCTTTTCATTTTGTTCAATGCTTGTGCCTTCATTGTACTTTTGGTGGTTTTACCTTCCTCTGCAGTTGACTTCATTCGAGAAGGTTAAGGAAGTAGATGAGTTCTTCAAAGTCCATCCCAACCCCTCGATAGCTTTGAGTGGGCACAGATTAGTGTTTGGAGTGAGAAACATCTTGCCTATATTTTGCAGGAGTTGGCTCACCGGAAATACTAGGCTCTATATTTAAGCTTCTTATGTTATGGAAGGAGAGTGACGGTGACATAGAGACCTACACCGATATAAATATTCGAATATTTAAAGAGTACAGCCGCGCGGCTATACTATTTATATATTCGAATGGTATCGCCGCGCGGCTATACTGTTTAAATATTTGTAGCGTATAGCCGGGCGGCTATACTATTTAAATATTCGAAAATATATTCAAAGCGTATAGCCGTCCGGCTATACTATTTAAATATTCGAATATATTCGGCGAGTATAGCCTATTTAAATATTCGAATATATTCCCAGAGTATAGCCGTGCGGCTATACGGTTTAAATATTCGTATATATTCAAAGAGTATAGCCGCACGGCGAAACTGTTAAAATATTCGAATACATTTAACGAGTATAGCTTAAATATTTGAATATATTCGCGGAGTATAGGCGCGCGGCTAGACAATTTAAATATTCGAATATATTCAAACAGTATAGCCGCGCGGCTGTACGGTTTAAACATTCTATTTAAAATTCATAAGTGTATCATTTTTAGGAATGCATTGTGCTATACTATATAAATCCCTTGCTTCATCAAGCCACCCCATTACAAAAGTTCTGAAACCCTAGAAGAAAAGTATAAAGGGAGAGGAAGCTCAGGAAAACTATACACCATGTTAAAAGGAATAAACACCACCACCACCCATCTTAATATGTTACAAACACAACTTCTTCACTCCTGCAGCCATCGCCAACATCATCAATATTAATAATAGAGGGAAAAAAATATACTCTCGAAAGAGGAATACCTAAAATAAGTCTGCTATTCAATTTACTACTAAACTGGTATGGACATCATTCTTTGATGCATCATCACATCTAAAAACAATACCCTGAAGGCTAGCTGGAAAGATACATTTGGCCCAATTGGAAGATGAGAGTGGCGGTGAGGGTTTCCTTGTATGCGCATAAAGCAAAGCCACTCAAACCCACAAAGCTTATCTGTGGACTCTATCTAGCGTTTTGTTTTTTGGAATGGTTCCTTGGATTTTCTTTAACAATTAAGCCGGTCAACTTGCATCACTCCAACATAATAATAATAATAATAATTTGATTGGTAATAAGGAGATAGCTAGAAAGTTATTGGTAATATAGTTAGATCCTGGTTGTTTGTGTCTGTATGTGTCTGGGGGTTCCTTTCTGTATACAATATATTCATATTGTCACAGATATGTGAAACAGAAAATAGAAAAGAGTGAATTATATGATCATTAAGATTGGGTTGGGTTGGGTTAGGGGAACAAAGAGAAAAAGGAACCTTAGGCTCATAAATAAATGGAAACTTGTTCCAATTTTGAGGAATACAACTATAAGCCATGCAGGCAACAATGGCAGACTGCATCTCTTCCAATTTTAATTAAAACAACTACAAGCCATGCAGGCATAATGGCAGACTGCATCTCTTCCAATTTTAATTAAAACAACTACAAGCCATGCAGGCATAATGGCAGACTGCATTTCTCTCCCAGTGTAATCAACACAACTACAAGCTACAACCATTTTCTTCTACAGAAGCTCCTAACAGAACACTCATACTACTACAACTCATAATTCATATATATGACCTTTAAAACTCAATGGTTATGTTCCAAAGGTGCAATTCTTTCTCTGGCACTCTCAAAGCAATGCTGACCAAACCAGATTTGTCTTCATATCCAAACTCTACTTCCTCTGAATCAACTGTTATCTTCTTGGGTCGAGCTGATGCATAGGCTCCAAATACGCCACATCCGCAAACTTTCAGAACAACTGCTGTACTTGTTTTAGATTCAAACTCTTTTATGGCTCCCCCAGAATTGAACATCTTGATTAGGCCTATGGGAGCAAATTTTACACCACCACTGGACAATTCCTTAACAGGAACCACTGTGAAAACTTCGTACTCTCGGGATTTTAGTGTTATCGGCATGGATGCATCCTTGGGAAGATAGGACACCTCTCCTGCAATTTATATCAATGAATTTGGTTAGTTTACTTAAGAACTATATGGTACTAATAAAACACGCAGAGTGTACAAGAGCAAAATCAAAATGCTAAACATACCACCAAGATGAGAAAATATGACAGCATCCCCAGACCATTTGTCATCTGCAACCTTAGGCAGATAATCAACATCTTTAGCCCTAACAACCCCAGTCATTGTTCCCGGCTCTAGGTCATGGATGAGGTTCGTCTTCCCAACCTTACACCACCCAGCTCCCTGGCAATTGAAGACCCCCACAACTCCAGTACAATCGTTCAGATTCCATATCTTCAGAAGACTACAATACCAAAATTTAAATCAGAAAAACAGCATTGTTTTGAAAAAACGAAACCACAAAACAGTGATAAAATATTTTTCGAACCTTTTCCCATCCCGGGCAGGATCAGAAAATAAGCAATCCCTTGTTGGTCTTCCTGGAAGTTTAGCCCTTAAGATAGAGCCATCAGGAAGTACGAGCTTCTTCAGAAGATCGAAGTCATGCTGCCCAGGCTTGTCACTGCATCACATATAGATACACCATTATTAATTGACTTTGTCTGGTTGATCATTTTCACATCAGAAACTGGCATATTTTCATAACTGAAGACCATACCTAACATAAATTGCACATCCTCCAACTGCACGAGCTGCTCCATGATATTCAGCCATCGGGTGCAGGCTCTAACATTCGGAACAATTCCAAAATAAGAATCCGAAAATGCAAAAATGAAAAGAACCATAAGTGAATACTTGAAGTTCAAACTATAGATCAGAGTTTGCTTGCTTACATGAAACATATCCCAATCTGGCTGCATAAACTCCCCAAGGAAAACAGTGTTATAAGCAACTGATGCAATATGAATTGTGTGGGATGCTGGATCTCTAGGCCAGAAATCATCTGATGCCCTTATAACAGCTGTCCGCTTCACACTAAAAAATTCAAGGCCATACCATAATATCATTAAAGTTAATAATTCACAGGATAGAACAAGAGCTACTATTGAACAGACAGATCTGACACAAATTTTTACCTGTATAAACCGTCTGTGTTGTGACTCATACAAGAAATGATACCATTGTCAGGAAAGTTTCTAGCAATAGACGTTTCTAATGCTTGATGGTATTTTCTTGAAAGTTTCACCCTTCCACCATGGCCTGCCCCTAGAGTTTCAAGAATGTTCTGAACATCAACTTTGACTCCATCAATACCGGCTGATGCGAGATAAGAATGCAGTTCATCATAAAAGTTGAAAACTTTCTCAGGATTCACAAGGCCAAGCCCATTTGTGGTAATACTTTTCAAGGCATCACAATGCTCATTAGACTCAATTCCTGGAGATGAAATAGGGTAGGACAACTTGGAATCGTAGTGTTTCATTTCAGTAGCACCAGGTCTAACACCACCCCAATATCCAGTTATAGCATGCCACACATAAGCATACCTGGAAATTTGAGAAACAAACAGAATTAATCTCTAATCAACTAAATGATTATCACAGCCAAAGTCAGAAAATTCGAATATTATGACTCACTTCAAAGCGTGTTTTTCTTTAATTTCGGTAACAATGTGGCGAAGGCCCAAAGCAGGATCCTCTACTCTGTGACCCTCTTTACCATCCTTCTGAAATTTGTGGTTTTCTTTTATGTTTGTTAACCTGTTTGCAAAGCTGAAAAACAAGAAAATAACAAATGTAATTATGTAAGAAAACCTATAAGCCAATCAACACATAAAGGTGAAAAAACATCAAAATGATAGTACTGTGGACCAAAGTGCTCACTTTGCTGCGTTATCAGCTTCATATCCAATACCAGAGGAATCCATGCCGACTGACTGCCATCCGTCATCAATGATAACAAACTTTGGAGGTACTCCACCATCTTCTAGGCTGCGAAAGGACAAAACAGTTGTGACCGTCTGCATAATGCTAACACCGA